AAAGAGAGATTGGTGCTGTGCTGAGAAATGCTCAACACCCACCACTCTCTGTGAAGCATGTGAGTCATGGGCACCTATTGCTTTCTGGGATCTGCTCTGAAATCCCTTTGCTTAGCCATAAACCCCAGCCCACTGGCGTTTTGAAACTCCTAGTGTGACAAATATTTACTTCAACCCATTCACATCAGGCTTTAAATCCCTGTCTCCTTCCATTGCCTGGGGTTTTCCAGGAAAACCACTGCTGCAGGTAAATGATGGTCTTCACTCAGCCTGGGTGAAGAGGGATGGCATCTCTTGATCATGCTGCTGAGAAGCCATCCAGTGTAGGGAGGGGTGGAGGGGAATCTGGTGGATTGGCATTAACCCTTCAGACAAGCCCAACTCAGCTGGTAAGAGAAGGCTCAGTATCTAGTTCAGGTGTCATGATGCATGTGCCAGCAGGGCCAAAAGGATCTCTTTGGTCCCACTCCATCCCTCTTGGATATGGTGATGGCACAGACTTAGACATTTTTACTTTGAGATGTTACCTTTCTCAGAGAATTTCTGTATTGTTTTTTTTCTTTAGGTCTGAGGGTTTTTTTCATCAATGTTCAGCCCAGTTGTAGTTTATTTCCTCCTGCAATCAGTGGCTGGTCTATGTGTTTTGGGGAGAGAGGTGGGGATGCCCAGCAATGGGAAATCCTCTGCTTTTGATTCTTGGCTCAACAACCATGGAGTGTCTTTTTCCATATCTGGTGCAAAGCCCACTGATTCTGTGGAAAAGAAGCTGGTGCTTTCAGCATCTTTAAGCCAGGCTGAGACTGTTCACAGTTGTAGTTGATATCAACAGTATAGCCTTGGTGGAATGAAAATGTTTGGGTTTGGAGAAAAGTTAGTACCTGAAGTTAAGGACAATAAGCTTTTGGAGAAAACAGTTGTGTGAAATGACAGCAGAGTTCCTCTAGGACTGCTGAGGAGGGGTTTTGATTAAATCTGTGCTCAGGATGCTGGTATCACTGCAGTATTCTGGGGAAGAGATAACTGGGCTGGCTTCTTTTCCAAGCTGTCTGTGAATTACTGTACAACTGCTGTGGAAAAGTCCTAAATATAAGTTTGGAGTGGTTTCAAACCTACCTTCTGTGAGGTCCATGTTGTCACCCTCCATGAAATGCTCACGGGGTGTTTGATGTGATTGGCTCAGGCCCCCTGAGCAGCCTGGAGAGGAGAATGGGCTGTGGGGCTGATGTGCACCCCTGGGGTGCCTGGCCTGTCTTTT